TGTCTTGTTAAATTTAATAATCCTCTTCCAGCTAAGATGCTGTGTGGTAAGCACTCTGACGTGGAGGCACCCCCATCGCCGATTCAGGGAATGCATGTGGGGGGGGGGGGGGGGGGGCTGTTTGCATTAGAGATTTGTGGGCTTGTGCAACTGGGGGTTAATGTGGCATTTCTCTGCAAGTCTGTGTGTGATACTCCTCCCTAAAACCCTCTAAGATGGGCAGCTCCACAAAAACGATGCGATTTGCAAAGTGGGGATTTGTGTCTCCCTGCTCCAATGATACCACCGAGGGGAATAATTACAAAGACGCGAGGCAATGATGCACTCTAATAGATTCTGGGCTGCCTGAATTTGCCTCTTTCTCCTGTTTTGTGGCTGATTTACAAAGATTAAATATGTAAATTAAGCATTCTACCTTTTCCAATTTGTATAGCTGAAACATATTGCTTACACCTGATAGAGGGCTGAAGGAGGACATTGGAAAACACAAACCCAGTAGTTGGGTACCTTTAGTCTGTTTTTTTTTCTTAATTTATTATCTTGGACCCTGGGATTTTTGCCTATTCTGCTTGAATGTGAGCTGAAATAGTTTCTCCTTTCCCTTAGAAAGACCCTTTTCGCTTCAGTTCTTTCACTGTTGGGTGGTAGTTTTATAATACTGGATAGCACCATACAGGCAAAACCAGGGAGGTCCTTTTGGATCATGACAGTGGCCTGGAAAAGGTGTTCATTGCTGAATCAACCATTTCAGTGAAGGGGATCAAGACTTGATGTGCCTTTTCAGTGAAGGGGATCATGGCTTTATGTGCCATTTCAGTGAAGGTGATCATAGCTTGATGTGCCATTTCAGTGAAGGGGATCATTTCTGGATGCACCATCTCAGAGAAGAGGATCATTGCTGGATGCACCATTTCAGAGAAGAGGATCATTGCTGGATGCACCATTTCAGTGAAGAGGATCATTGCTGGATGCACCATTTCAGTGAAGGGGATCATTGCTGGATGCACCATTTCAGTGAAGGGGATCATTGCTGGATGTGCCATTTCAGTGAAGGGGATCATTGCTGGATGCGCCATTTCAGTAAAGGGGATCATTGCTGGATGTGCCATTTCAGAGAAGAGGATCATTGCTGGATGCGCCATTTCAGAGAAGAGGATCATTGCTGGATGTGTCATTTCAGTGAAGGGGATCATTGCTGGATGCACCATTTCAGTGAAGGGGATCATTGCTGGATGTGCCATTTTAGTGAAGGGGATCATTGCTGGATGCGCCATTTCAGTAAAGGGGATCATGGCTAGATATGCCATTTCAGTGAAGGGGATCATGGTTGGATGCACAATTTCAGTGAAGGGGATCATGGTTGGATGCACAATTTCATTGATCCTGTTTGCCTAAGTTATGAATATGCTGGTCAGGTCAGCAGAAGTGGAGTATACGGGGCCTCTGACTGAGTCTGGTGTCTGACACAGTCCCCCCCGCATCATGGATGGTCTGAAAGAGATGACCTCACCAGTGCCTGGATGCTGATTGATCCGCCAAGGGCTAGACAGGCTCATCAAACTGGGCTGGTATGTGCATTAAGCCGGCAAAGTCTGGGCCTTTGGTTTTAAAGAGGGCAAAGGTGACAGATAGTTTCTACTTCTCTGTAGGAGGGGTGTCATTGAGAATCAAGTCAAGAGCCTTGGCAAGTTCTTTGATAGCACCTTGAAAGGCATGGCAGCACTCCAGGCAACCAGCAGGGACCTGGAGTCATGGCTGAGGGCGGAGGATAAATCAGGGCAAGCCTGGTCCTACCAGCACACCTACCGGTCCTCTGGTCCTTGCTAGTCTAAGAGGTTCCACTCACCACTGCTGAAAGCTTTGAGAGGAAGACCATCTGCTTCTTTCACTGGCGGCTGGGCTTAACACAAAACCTGAACAGCATTGCTTTAAATGGGAACGACATGCTATGGCCCCCCTTCAGCAGTCAGACTGAGGAGTTCAGGGGAACCCATGCAAGACAGTTGCTACAGAGACTATTATGACATCAAAGACTCTCTTACTGGTCCGGGGAAAGTGGGGGGGGGGAGGGTGTGCAGGATGCAGTCAACCAGGCAGAGTGGCGACTGCAGTACGTGATGCTGGTGGGATCAGAGGCGCCTAGGCGGCCTGGGCTTGATAGCATGCCCAGAGTTATGATGAAGCACAAGGCAAAGAAGACACCAACTAGGCCAGGAGGAGGAGGAGAGTGGGGATGTGACAGCACTGTGCATAAAGTAGATGTGGAAAGTAAAGTAGAATGGACCAAAAGAGTTTGTCAGAACTCGGGAAATCTGAGCTACTTGGCATCAAGTTCTGATCCAGTATGTCTCCAACATCCTCCTCCACCCAGCTACTGTAACATCTTTCATAAGGGTAAGGCTGAGACACCAGCATGGCCACAGTCCACGGATCGTCTGGTCAGGAACTCAAAGGGAGCAAAAACGTGGACTGACTGTGGGTCCCCAAGGTCCGGATTGGAAAACACTGTCATAAGAGAGGGATGCCATCACTGTCGCTCTATACAGGTGCTGGAGGCAATAGTGCATACCATCTGCAAGGGGACCGGTGAGAGCAAGCACCACCATCCAGAGAAGAAGGCAGGGAAGAAGCGACGGCTGCAGCCAAAAGTGACAGGTGGGGCTCCTCAGCATCGCCCAAGCCAGGAGGCTGAAGGTTGACCTAGGGAAGCTAATCAAGTCCTTTACAGGAGCCACACTTAGGCCAGACATGGTCCTGATGTCCAAAATGGCAGAACAGGTGGTTCTGTTGGAGCTGTCTATTCCCTGGGAACACCAGGCGGTGCAGGCTTACGAGTGGAAGAAAGCTAAATATAAGGACCTGATAGGCGAGTGCCGGAGCCGGAGCCGGAGCCGGAGCCGGAGCCGGAGCCGGAGCCGGAGCCAGGGGTGACAGGCACAGTGTTTGCCCAAGGTAGGCTGCAGATATTTTGCAGGCGATCTCTCACCGTGCCCTCGAGTTCCTTGGCATCACAGCCCTGCACAGCTGGCAAGTCATCACAGAGGGCCTTGCAATGGATCAAGAGAAGCTATCAGTGGGCCACACATGCCACAGGACGGAAGCTGGAATCCGATCAGTCCCGGTTGGGTGGCCTAGGTGAGGCTGTATTGTTGAAATACCAGAAATGTCCCGTGTCTCCCTGGGGTGCTGGCAGTGACGATGTACCCAAGTGTGTCATCAATTTCTGCTGAAACACCTCAATGATACAAGACAATTAGAGCTGAATATGATAACTCTCACTTTTCTGCTTTGGTAGTGTGATGATAAAAATGAATAATGACCCAGTTTACATAATCTGAAGAATTACCATTGTCTGCGGCATTTAGCCTTTCTGCACGTGCCAGTGTCTCAGCAGAAAATGCCATTGTTTGCAATACAAACAAGGTAGATCTATCAACAGTTTGGAAATAAGGGACTGGGTTAGTGTTCCATTAACCGAATGTATGATACATTGTATTTCCTATTAAAAAGTGTATTAGGTTAATTCAGTTAATCACTTTAATTCCTGAATCCAAAGGATATTGAATTATGTCTTCCAACAAAGAACTTGACATTGAGAGGAAAATGAGACCCCGTGTCATATTGCAAGTAATTTTTTCTTGTAGTTTGCTCATTGTCCGTATTTTCTGAGGTCAGTGTCATCCCATTGCATGCATTTCTGATGGTCTTTTCCTGACTAATACATTTCTATATTATTATATTTACATTATTAAACGAAGCTTGGCCTGTCCTTGTTCCCCCGTTTTAGAGAAACCCTTGGTGCTGTAGAAAGGTAAATAGTAACCTATTCAGTAATAACATGCTTCCTGAGGACTGTATGAAACTGGCAGGTACCACTGTGATCTACAGTCCATTTACTCATCCAGCCTCTAACCACTTCTCTAATAGAGGGCTGGGGGGGGGGGGGGGGGGGGGGTTTTCTTTATACAAAATATAATGGAAAAAAAAAGGACTTAAAAGGGGGGGGGGGGGGGGGGGGGGGGAGCTGGAGCTTATCCAAGGCAGCGCAGGGCATAAGGCCAGTGAATGCCCAGGACAGGATGCCAGGCCGGCGCCGGGCATGCATGCACACTACAGGCAATTAAGGGGCGCCAATTCACCTAATTGCATGTCCTTGGGCAATGATAGTAAAGCTGTACAACACGTGGACATCACACAGGGGTGAGACATACCCCGGGGGGTGCGAGGCAGTAGTGCACGCCGTAAATAAAAAAATAGCTAGGTGTGTTTATTCCTAAAATAACTAAAGCATTTTTCAATTTCATTTCTTATTACTTGTCTCTGATATCATGTGCCACATGTGAAATGTCATTCCCAAAGTCAGAGTAGTCATCTGGCAATAAAAAGCACTAAGACGCTGTAGAACTATCACTGCCAAACCTGTCACATTCAAAATTTATATCAGCAATAAGAATACAAATATGTAGAAATGTTCGCATGACTATACAGTAAGGAGCGAGTTGTGTACCTACACAGGAGGCCAGGAATTGTTTTAAATAGCTACTAGATTTTGCAAGTCCGTCAAATCTCAAAGGGAAATTTCCCACTGCAGTCTAACAAGTTGAACATTTTTGTTAATTTAATGGGACCAACCAATTAATCTCGTGCGCATCCGGGTGGTAAAGCCGTAAATCTCCGTTAGCCCCGTAACAAATGGCATGAGCGAGAATTCATTCTTCGTCTAAACATCCAACAGGCAGCTAATTAAGGGCCAGGACTTGAAGGTTTTCTCAGACTACAGCATTAGCAGCATTTACCCCATATATCAGGTTTGGAAGGTGCTATTACAGACATGAAACTGTGAAGAAATAAAATAAAATACAAGCTGCTACTTTAAAGACTTCCAGAGAGACTGAAGTATTTCTGAATTACAAAACGTGGTCTCCGAGCATCTTTGCCATCTCACAGGCTTCAGTAACGACTGATCTGATTAATCAGATAGTGATCACTTAATCAGATACCTGAGCTGCTTTATGAAGTTCAGCAGCAGGAATGTGGCCTGTGTGGAGACCACAAACGAAACGATGACAGCCGATTCATAACCGTCGATGCGATGCCATCTCTGCCGTTATTAAGACGTTGAAATCTGGGAGGCACTCGCTGACCAGCCACACCGCATTGGCCTAAGAGAAAGGCAGGGACAGGCGGAAGAAAAAAGGGATGAAGGGAGAGAAAGAAAGAGCGAAAGAAAGAGAATTGGCTCAGGAATAATTAACAAATAGACTGCAGATGGCCGAAGCAGATGGTTTAATTTCTGATGCCCCATCGATGGCGGCCGGGGGCTCTGCAGTGTTGATGAATATGGTGATGCTTAGATGGCCTGCCTTCCTCGGGACCGTGTGCTCGGCTGACACGAAATTCCAGGGCGAAAACACAAGATAACATGAAATGGGGGGATATCAAGCCACGGAGAGAGCTGGCATGAAGAGGATTAGGAGACACGCAACAAAAGGGGGAAACCATTTCGACAGATGTTAGACACACCACAGTAATTAAAAGCGGAATGGAGTCCTGTTGTGATGTAATGAGAAAATGAGGAGTCGGGGGGGTGGCACGTCACGCCGGTACAAAGGAGGCGACGGATAAACGAGGCCTGTGGGGTACTGGCAGTGTGTGTGTGGGGGGGATCTGGTATGCGGCACGTGAAGCTGATAAAATAGATCAGTCGCCCCCCCTCCCAGGCATAGGAGTGCCCCTCCCATGTCGCTTTCTCGTTTAATCAGTCCGTGTGATGCCAGCAGTATCTGTGGCACTATCGATCCGCTTTAATGGCATGTATGTGTTGGGGGGGGTCTGGAGGCTGCTTTTATTTGGGGGTGGGGGGGGGGTAAGATATGTTGTGTAAAACAGTCTGTGTGTCAAACCAATGGAACCCCCCCCCCCACCCTTGGGGTGCTTCTTCAAATGTCAAGTTAATATAAAAAACAGAGATGTGAGCTTCAGTGCATAAGGTATCGCGTTCATATCAAAGCCGTAATGAGGCCCCGTCGCCGCCGCAGCAGAACGCACCTTTACACTGCACTTTCTATACCCTTCTGCTATACAAGCACTTTCCTGGCTGCTCCCAGAGACAGGCCAGCAATTCAACTTAATCCGCATCGACCAGTCCTCACTGACCTCATCCCCTAGGTCCGACCGGGGGATTTTCTCCAAGACAACCAAATGAAACAAAATAATTTCACCTTTTTTTGTGGTAAATGCATCACTGTGTTGCTCATGCCTTAAATGTGGTGGACTTTATGGTGGTTATGATGAGAGAGAATGGAATGAGAGAATACATGAGGTATTGTACACGTGAGACCGTTGTGCATGCATTATGATTATGGATGAATTGCATGGGAAAAAAGCTTTTTTGAGTTGATATCGGGAGAGTGAATCCCCAATGTTTATCACACCCTGTTTTTCCCCACAGACAGATCATTTCAGCACCAGCTGGGTCCAATTTGTCTCCCTTAGCGTAATTAATGGGCTGACCCTCTGAGCTGTGTACAAACTTGCCCGTCACCCCACCTCCCCCCTCTCCGCACGGTGCATGTGCTGTCCCGGTCTAGTTCATCCCCTTCAGCACCTCTACACCTGCACGGTGCGGGAAATGCCCTGTGATCCCACACAGTGAAATTAAGACATTTTATAAATGAAGGTGTTTGTCAGAAGCCTTTTGGAAATAGTTTTCCCCCCTAAAGAAAACCCAGATACTGGCAGCATAAAATATGACAAAATGCTAATGAATTCAATGACATTTTAAAGGCAACACCCCCCCCCCCCCACCACCTCAAGCACAGTTACAATGTACCTTAATTAGACATCACTTGGCATTTAACCTTTTAGTATTGTTTGTAAACCTTCCACAGTTGTGACCTTTTTTAAAGCAACCCCCCCCCCCCCCGCTACCACCGTGCTCAAAACTTTTCTGGGGCAGGTCCTCAATCTGTCGTGGGCCACACCGCTACATGGGACTTAAACGGAAGCAGAATTTCTGGGCCCCGGCCTGGGACAATGGCAACCATGACTTAATGCGAATGCCATTGAAAGACGTGCAGCCGTGTTGCGTCTCTGCATTGTTCCAGTGCCCATATTGCAGTTACGAACTGCTCTATTCTGAGGTGCTGCTTTCCCTCTAAACTTGCCGTGCCGTTCCTTATTGCATATGTCTACCGTCTGTTTCCTTTGTTTATTCTGCTCGTTCTGTAACGTCACGCCAGCCTTACACTGCTTCCGTCCTACCTGACTGTGTTTAATTCAGCAGGGGACATTCTTACATTTTTTTTTTTTTTTTTTTTGCTCAGACAAAATAGACTAATATTCTGCTGTTTTCCAGGCAAATTCTTTCGAATGGAGTCAACTTTATGAAAGAGCAGAATTAGTCTCCTCGGGGATTAGCAGTAATCTAGATGTGATATTTTCAGTGTGAAGCATGCGATATAGTTTAATAATTTCAATAGCATTTTGCCAGACAATTCATAGAGATGTAAAATTAGATGAAAAGTGACTTTTGTTGTTGTTGGAAACGATTTGAGCAAGACTGTAACAAGGCACTGTTTATCTAAATTAATTTGATCAAACTGAAAAGAATTTTCTCTGTTTTAATATCAGTTAGACTGGCCCAGGGACAGAGTGACAGGGGGGTCTTTAAGATTTGCGAACACAAATATTACAGACTGAGTAAGTAACCTGAATATTTCTCTTACTAGGATTTTTTTGTAGCTGGGTAAGCTTTTTGGTGTTTGTGCACTGGGCACTTTGATATGTCACTTTGACTTGGAACCGGCTGAGTAGGAGGAAGTCAAATGTTACACACTGGTCTCTCTGTGCCTCTGGGGATGGTGGTTGTACCTTTTATGCAGAGAAAAGCTGTCATTGCTTGCAGTGTCTTTATATCATAGTGGTCTGAAGTCTAGGCCCCAGGCAAGCACTGGGCAAACTTGTGGTGTGCATTCCTTAAATACGACTGCATGCTAAAAGCCACCAACAGCTTCGCAACTTCCCCGCATGTCTGCTCGACAAAAGGTTTCTATTAGTACTGTATACAATAGTTAGGCTACATCAGAAACATGGGCATGCTCTCGTGAGATCAAAAACACATTGTTATCAGTTAGCATTTGTAAACGGCCCCCCCTTTAGCTCAGATCTCATGCTATCCGCTGAGGAGCAGAAGACTTCTTTTTGTCTGCCTTTTTTGGGGTCTCCTCCTGTGAAATCCATCCCAATCATATCAGAGAACCAATCAACCCTCTGCAGCAACAATCGCTTACCTCAGTCTCCAGAAAGTACAGAGGGGGCTCTTTTGAAAGCACGGTTGGTAAGTGCTTTTCCTGTAGAGCTGTCGACTCTTTGATCCAGATGAGAAGATGTTAGGGGCTTGATGCGAACAAGGAGCCGAGCTATGCTCGGACGGGGGCCTCACAGGGAGTACGATTAGCAATGGCCGCTTCTGAGCTGCGGCTAGAGTCCCGACTGTAGCTACTTTGTGAAACGGAGCGTTTCTTTCCAGCTGCTATTAATAGAGTCTCAGCAAAGTTAAAAATATATAAGTAATTAAGAAATAAAAAACATTCGATCATGGCAACTTGGCCCGTGCACAAAGAGGCTTGTTTGTTTTCCCTGGGAAGGAGGGAGTGTGTCGCTACAAGAATCAGGAGAAAACTGTTGGGATAATTGCAGGAATGCATGGCCTCGGGTTCTAGCCTTTCAGCCCCTGAATAGCACCACTGTGTGTTCCGAAAACAGCACATTAATTTGAGACTCGTTTGAGCGGAACTGTTGATGATGTCATGTGTTGACTCGTGTGACACATCGAAAAAGCACAGCGGACTCGGAGTGGAGCGAGACCGCATCTGTCCCGCTCGCCCTCTCTGAACATGCGTTTTGTGGTTTCCTCCTGAAAAATCTCCCAGCTAACCCAAAGCTTTCACCGTTCGGTGGTGTAACCTCATTTCTAAAATAAATTGCTTGCAAGCGTTCAGATCTCCATTTGGTTTACACTTGACGAATGACACCATCCTCTAACAAGTCCTTTGACTAGCAATCAGTCTTTTGTTTCTGGGCTTGTGTTTTGTTTCTCCATATCTCAGGCAGTTGCCGTGGTGACAATCACACATTCATGCCTTGTGCTTTACAGTCGGCACCCGCTTATAACCTTGATTGAGAATTCTCTGCAAAAACCTATAGTCACTTCGTCGTCCTGTGGAATCAATCTCAGCTTTTGGCAAATATTTCAGCTATTTCTATATATCCGACTAAAACATTGAGATAAGTACATACAAAACCTCACATCTGTATAAATTAACTATTGGTGTGCTAACCAATTTGGAGATTTTGAACACATTGTATTAGCAACTGCATTCATTTGCCATATTTAAGGTGACCTTAACTAGACTCCTTTGAATATTTTCTTTGAAAAAAGCTTACAGCTCTGAAAAAAAAAATAAAACAACACCCTATATTTTTCAAAAATTTGCATTTTTAAATCCAAAAAGAACAATAAACAATAACCAAAAACCAGCCAGGTAGAGGGCAGCAACTCTAATGCAGAGATGACCGTTAACTTATCTGGCAGTGCATCATAAATCGAAGGATGACCTCAAGTGACCTTCAAAAACAATGGGAAACATTAAGTGGTGTGAAGTGCACTGCTAGGACAGTTCATAACAGGCTCCTGGAAGCAGGACTGAAGGCCCATAAAACAAGGAAGAAGCCCTTCATCATTGAGAAGCAGGGAAGAGCCTGGCTGGAGTTTGCAAAAAATGCATATTTTACACAGATACACAACCAAATTGAGAAATGAGTAAAACTGAAAATTGTGCTGTGGTCTTAATTTTTTCCAGAGCTGTATATTATTTGATTTAACAGTGAAGATACGGACAATAATTGTGTAAGTGATTCAGACAGAGTTGGCACTTCGTGCCTCAGGGCTGTTCTCCGAATTATTTTATGCTTTTGGAAGCTGTCAGTGTGAATGTTGCGGTATTAAGGTTTTGTTGGATTGTTTGCTTAGGCCTCACACTTAATTTTGACTGACCTTGACCAGACTGACGGGGCACTGAGGATGGGAATGCAGTGGTGCCATCAATCTGCCCATTTATCTTATGGTGTGTGCGGAATGCTATATATCAGTCCGGGAGGCTAGTGGTGCCTTAGCATTAGCGATTCCCGGGGAAAGATGTTAACCATGGTCCCGTACAGTGAGAATCCAGCTTTATATTAGCATAGAGCTTTAAATGCTTTAGAGGGGGAAAGCCCAGGCTGGGGCTCCTATTCGCTCGCCTTCAGTTTCATCTTTGTTATTGTTTAGAAAATCCGACGGTGCTGTTTTTCTCTCTGCCTGCTTCTTGGGCCAGAGGAGCCAAAGGCAGCAAGACGTCATGACACAGGTATGGTGTAGGCCTTCACAGCGAGCGGGAATATATCCGCTGCGGGGTGTGTTTGAAGCGCGTTAATGGGGAACGGGCGCGTCTGTGAGGGAGCGCCAGCGCTCCTGTCTCCGTATCCGTACTCCTTCCACACACTTCCAGCATTTGCGCTGAACCACACGTGCCGAAGGAGGATCCCCCGAGAAGATGGACGTTTTTGACAGCGGCGTCGCCGGATTGGCTCGAGCCGTCGTTTCGACCCGCCCCACCCACTCACAGAGAGGTGAAGCAGGAAAGGGGGTCAGTCAGAATGGCGCCACTGTTTTACCGAAGGGGGGGCTTTGTGGGAGTACTGACTGTGAGAAATGTGGTAAGTTACAATCACTGTTCATTCAGTGTTTGTTTCTGTGGTTACACCAGCATTCGTATCACATGTGATTGTTCATTAATAATTCATGCTGTTATCATTTTCAGCATGACTAGTAAAACTGTATATCTTTATGATTGTATAACTATATATATGCATTTGTTTAATTACGCAATTACCTACACTGTTTATTAAAATGAGATACTTCATGCGGAAAGTAATGGATTGTAAGAAAAAGTCCTTGCAGTTATTTTCAGACACGTGCAGAGAGGGATGAATTTGGCAGACGGGGTGAGAGTTTATTAAACACGCGTGCTGATTTTACAGCAGTCTGTACGCCATGAGGGCATGTTACACGCCTGCTATGTCCTTTACATCCTACATGGACCAAAATAGTCTGGTGGCATGAATCCAAGGAGGTCCGTGTGTTCTGCTGTTTCACCTGCGGTGACCAATCACAGCTCTCCAACTCCAGCTCCATAATCGGCGGGTGTTGGTGGCCTGGAAGTTCAGCACCCTGTCAGTCATGAACACAGGTTCCCGTTCAATCCACTGCTCTGATCACTGGGAGATTTCACAGCAGATATGTTCTGCTTCTAAATAAAACTCTTCAGAAAAGTCTCTATTATTTGGAACAACTTCTTGTTTTATCCAGTATTGATGTCTTGCTTATATTTAGTGCTTAATACTGTATGTGCTTCTCCCTGTATGGCATCAGTTTTCAGATCCCAGCCACCTTCCTTGGCCAGGTAGCTGCAGCTAATGGTAATTTGTTCTCAATTAACTTGTCTGGTAAAATTCAGATAATGAATATCATTTTCTGCAAATTCCACGTAAGCAAACGGATGCCGCTTAACACTGTTTCACACGGTACTGCATGCTAATTTATTTGCAAAGTGAAGCAGCACGAGCTAATTTTTCTACAACTGGATTTTTAAAAAGTTATTTCAGCTATCAATCGAATGTTATGCTTTGAATGTTTTTCAGTTCTAATAAAAATGCTACAAAAGTATGCATATACCGCTTTGATCATTGACGTATAGTGTAAAGTCATTGTGCTCTCAACGCAAAGCTTTCTTAATAAATTCTTTCATAAATGTATTTTAAAATGAACAAACTAGTATCAATTGCAGATTAATGGTCTTTGGGCACAGCCAATATAAACTTAATATCCTTTTATTTTCTCTGCTTTGAGCGAACTAAGTCCCCATTCATTTTGTATTCGGCAATGGCTGAATCTTTTCTCTCTCCAGTGTTTTTAAATAGAATCTTTGTAAACGGAGGCAAACATCAATTTTATTCTCAAGTTCAAAGCGGGCGGGGGGGTAGGATTGCTGCATAATAGAATGACTTATGTATTGTAGCTAGCTGAAAATTAAAGAATTTGCATTCATTTCTGTGATGAAAGCGCAGTGGACATGAAATAACCTACCACAATTTCTCTCTTCTACCCTTCAAGCCTTTGTTGTTACAGTACGTTATGCTGGGTGACGAGCATTCATGCTGAAATTAAAGCGTCGTCCGCAAAAGATTTTTCAAAGAAACGACAGAGATAGGAATGTGGTGAAACCTCAACGTAACGATGCAGCGTGTAATTTAATGAGACTCTACTTCTCTATAATGGCCTATTACTGCTCAAATTGTATTGCTGAAGGATTGTCGGGGTGTCATCTCTGTTAAACAGGGCTATCTATCATCCATCTCGATGAGTCCACAGTAAAAAGTAGGGGGGTCCCAGGGTGCCTTCCCATGTCTAACATCCCTGGGACGGCTCAGCTCTATAAGCTGCCTTCAATCAGCTGCAGTCTGGCTTCCTCGCTCATTACATTTAATTACACTTCACCAAAATGTCGGGTGTTACGCATCAATGCGAGGAAATGAAACCGGGCTCGTGCCGGAACGCCACGGACGATTAGGTCCCCCTCGTACCAACGGCACGCACCGCTCTCACTGGAACCACCTCGTCCTGTTTGGGGCAGTGACCCCAAACCAATTTCAGGCAGCTGAAGTGATTAAGGCTGGGGTGTCGAAAGTGGCTCCCGCACTCCGGGAACTTCACTGCCGTGTTAAACGGGATGGCTTAATGTGTAACACAGACACTGGCGGAATGATTTTTACTTATATGCTCTGCTGTTTTCCAAATGTGCGGAATTCCTCTGCGAGTCTCTAAGGCAAGGCTCTCACAGCCGATTCGCTCCAGCCCATCTCTGTTTTAAGCCACTTAAAGCTGGGTATTTTGTTGTATGTCTATTAATTCCTTCATTTACTTACGTGTTGAAGGTATCTATAGCATAAAACCAAACGGTTTGAGCTTTCTTTACCCAGGTTCATAAACAGTACTGGTTATGCTTTTATTCATTCCACGGAGACCAGTTTCATCACAGTAGCTATAAATTCTTTGCCGTTCCAATAGCAACAGAACCTGTTCGGCTTCAATAACTGCTGGAACTTCCTGATTCCAATAAGCGTGGAACGTGGCACCGGCGGATATATCGACCTAATGTTTCTGCCAGCAGTGGGTGAGGTATATCACCGAGGGTGCGGATTCTGGCGGACCCACTCTGTTTGTTCTGTTGGCGGGGGGGCTCTTAACTCTTCCAGAGTCTGATTCAGACCGAGCTTTGGGTCTGTGGGGGTGGTTTTTTATCGATGTCAGGAGGCTTGTTCATGCTGTATCGTGCCAAAGAAGAGGATATTCTAATAGACGTGCTTTTCTGATAAGAGGCGGCGTGGTGATGTCTGACACCCACACAGTCAACGAGGATAAACATGATTTTATTTTACGGGAGTATCACTGCAGGCGGAGAATGTATTATTATCAAGGCGTGCACTTCTGTGATCTGACCCTCCGCTCCTGATTCATATTTTTTCAGCTCTGAATCTTCCTCACCACCACCATCTTGTCTGG